GAGAGAGAGAGGTAGGTAGGAGGAAGAGTGAGTGGGAAGAAGGAAAGGAGAAAGAATAAGCTCGTGATTTTGATTCCCATCGAGGATCTCACGATCTCACGAGGAAAGGAGTTAAACATCTCCGACGCGATCGGGCTCGTCGTAATAATTCCGCGTCCGCGGGTGAAACTCGCGGGAAGTCGCGGCGCGAGGGTGGGGAGCGAGGGTGGGGGGCGGAACGGCGCGGGACGCGAGGAACGCGCGGAACCCGAACCGCCACCGCCACTAGTGTTGTCGACGAGAAGGGTCGACACCGTCGACTCAAGGAGGTGATCGGAGAACTCGCACGCTCTTTTTTTTTTCCCCCCCGCGGACGGCACGGGGGTCGAGAGGATCGCGCGAGTGCGAGACGAACCGCTGCACGGCGCGTGTTCCGCGACTCGCCCGCTCGTGGACACCGGTGGGTCCGTGCCGGCGACGGACGCGCGGACTGCTCGCGGGGTGTAGTGAAACACATGTGTCGCGGCCGTGCGGTGTTTTCCACCGCTGCGGACTGCTGCCCGTCGCCGTACCGTGCCGCAGGCTGCGCGAGGTCCCGGGCACGCGGATCGCGGGAGCTCGGGACGCTCGTCCCCGCGGATATTCACCGGGACGATGCGCCGCGCTCCAGCGGCGGCGGAGTAACGAGCAGAAGCGGAAGGCGGTAGTGCGTGGGTGGGTGGGTGTCTGGTGGCCGCCAACACTCATGCACACCGGATTTCTCCGTGCGCCCCGTGCGAAACTCGAGCCCGTCGCGGTCGACCTGATACCCGATTCGCGTCGCCCGACGACGCGCGGGTGATCGGCACCTCCCGGCGTCGATCGCCGTCGGTCGTTGCACGCGCGCACGTTGCACTCCCCGAAGTATCGAAGAGAGGAAAAAAAAAAATATGTCGCCCCTCCGTCTGGAACATTTGACGCTGCTGCCCGCGCGCTCCTGATCCCGCTGGTGCGATGACACCGCGACCGTGCCGACGACGGATCGCAGAACTGGAGAACGGTCACGCGTTCCTGCCCGCCGCGTGCCTCGCCAGAGAATAAGCGGCCACGGATTCGCAGCCGTGCCGAACTGTGTGTGTATCTGTCAGCCATCATGATCGCCCGCGAGTCATGACTACTGTGCCCTACAATTTCCGACGTCCCGCCTGAGAGTGGCACGAGTTTTGACCGTCTCTCGCACGTGAGACACGTGCCTCAGACTTTCTAAATTGCAGGTCCTCGTTCTGTCGGTGGGGACGGAAAGAGAAAAAGAAGGATTTCTCGAGGATGTTCTGTGCCGCGCCGAGTTCGAACGCCGCGACGTTTCAAGGCGCTGAAGGCTTGCCTCGCTGAGAGAAAGTCGACGTGTTTTCTGTTATCCTGTCGTGTCACACGCTGTAAGGTCCGAGTATGAGAGGCCCAGCGGAGGAAAATGGATATCGGTAAAGTATCAGCATGCGTGAAAAGTCAGCAGAATGTCATGCTCACGCAGGTCACGTGAGGGGCACGACAGAGATGTGCTCGCGTGATCCACCTACATTGCACCCGACCCTCGCCAAGGCAAATGGTAAAAATTCGAGTCCCCAGCCAGCTCATCATACGGAGGCACGTATCGACAACAGTCTACTGCCGGCTTCCGGAGGCCGCTTGAAATTCTTCAAGGATGGAAAATTCATCCTGGAACTGTCTCACCGCAAAGACGGCGAAAAGACTACATGGTTTCCCGTGCCAAAGAAGACGTTTTGGCCTCCCGCTAGCACTATCCCGAATCGACAGGAGAGCTCTACTTCCCTCAGTGGTGGGTCGAAGAACATAGCAATGCATATTGTATTGAAAATTTGTGACATTTTTTATTTAATCTTTTTTATCTCCTTTGTATACGTTTATTATATTTTCAACAGTTACAAGAACAGATTCGTTATCTTCCAAAGCTTCTCTACAATTTTGTATTATCACTGTAAAAAAAAGTGTGGTATCCGATTGCCCACATTCACATCAATTCGTTGATTAAATATTATATTTTTTAATGATTCATAGGAAATTTCCTAATCACCGGTCGATATGAATGGATATGTCCAATTGCAACGTGGTCAAAAATTAGACCTCCTTAAAAAATAGATAGTGCAATCAGTTCGGCTAATTCATAACACATATCCTGATTCTGTTTCAGTTTCCGATGACAACTCGTCGGTCCAATCCAGTCCTTGGCAGAGAGATCACTGTTGGAAACAGACTCATCCTCGACGCAGGATAACCACGGAATTCAACTTTTATTATCGCCGAAATCCGAAGACTCGTCTGTGCGCGCATCCTCGCTTGATAGCGAGGAAACGCAGGCGCCCGTTGGATTCTACGACTGCGATTCCAGTTCCGGAATCGACGGCCTACCCAACGAGAACGTCACGGAAACTGAACGGCACATCGTCGTCGTCGTCGTCGGGCAAAGTTCTGACTCTTATTATTGACAAACTAGCGCGGCTGCTCGATCCCAATGTCGTCTCGCCTCGCAAGCGCATACTGCGAGAGCTGGAGAGAGTCTCGTTGGAGGATCAGGCGTCCAAGAGACGGGCAACACCGCAGCCGGTTTGCACCACGAGTAGTGCGCCGCCGACTCCCTCCTCAAAGCAAGTATCGTCGTACAGTATAACGAGTATCCTGGGAGAGGACAAGCCGAGTCCCGAACCGGGCTTCTTGAGGACGTTGCTGAAGCCGGACGACCGGCAGCCTGTGAAATACTCATCGACTAACGCCTATCCGAGGGTACGAATCGACCCCTATATCGGGTCCAGTAATACATCTGTTCATCACCCGCTCTACGGGATACCGATGTTGCCACCTGGACCGTACAGGGCGCCCCTATGGATGGCTCCCCATTATCCGTCTCCCGTCCACTATCCGCCTCCTATGCAATTGTACGCACCGCCGCATTCTCATCCATCGTCTCCACATTACAAAGATTACAGGGAACAAACTCTCACACCTCCTTCAGGTACATGTTTGAATATTATAGATAAGTACCAAGACAAATAAGATGATATATGCTCACAATTTTTATTTTTCATTTTTGTAGATATGCCTCTGAATCTGTCGAAGCATGCGGGTTGAATCTCAGGATCCCAATAGAGTTGGTGCCTTACGAGTGGACAAAACACTACGCAAACACTGCCCGTGCAACGACAATGCGATATATATTAGTATTTTTTTATTACATAAAACAATAGTATCCTAGTAAGTAGAGAGAGCGAGAGACAGATACAATGAAGCCAGACGGTTGGATTCTGGAAAAGTTATACTTGTACATATAAATGCATAGATTTGTCGATGGCGGCATAGGTATTTTATATTAATATTACAAGATTCAAAAAAAGGAAAAAATCGTAAGTGGTAATATACAAAAACGTTATGGATAAAAGATACAACTGTGTGTGTATGTGTAAACACACATTTTTATCGTACGTGACCTGCGAGCCGTAATAAAAAAAAAAAAAATGAGAAAAAAAAGAATAAAAAAAGTCGATGCGCAATTTCTTTTTTTTTTGCTGTTATTTCAAACGATCGTGAATATATTTTCTCATACGAATTTAACTGCGACCGTACGATGTGTATTGGTGATATCATCGCATTCATTCGTACATTTTTATTCTTTCGACATTGTTGACTCGTATTTCATACATCGCGACGAAAGACGGGTGAAACACACGCGTAAGTTTGTGTACGAGCAGGTCTCACTCTGTGCATCTCATTTATGCATTTTCCTGTTTATTCTTATAACGTTACTGTCATTATTATCATGAATGAGAAAAAAAATGGTACATTATCTTAAAGGAATCGATAAGAAAGACATAGGATTATGTACAGAACAGATTATTGCCTCTATATCTCTAGCATATTAATTATTCTTAAAGATAGAAATGCATAATAAAATTTAGGCTCTAATAGAATATATTCAACAATGGTATACAGTTATTTATATGATATTATATATAAACGCAAAATATGAAGAGAGAGGACACAAAATTACTTTGATAACCGACCGTGGGGTGTGCCTTACAGATAATTAACGAAATTCCATAAAACTAAATTACGAACGTTCTTGCGGATATGTATTATTACGAAAGGAGAGGCACTATATATTATGTATATAATAAATATATCTTTGTGTTACACGTATTTTTCATCAAATCGACATTTATTCGTTGCTCTATTTATTTTTAGTCAGGTTGCATCGAGAAACATTTCACGAGAAAGCAAGGCAAGCTCGCACAGGTTCTACAAGTATAAGTGAGTAATTTTAATTATTCGACGCGATTCTCTTTAGCGATTCCCGACGAAATGGAGAAGTATGTGGACTGCGCATTAGCAATTGTATAGAAAAAGACTAATTTCGTAAATATAAATATTTCATATACTACACACAATCATTATTTCATTTACCGTAAACTGAGAATCTACAATCTTCCCTCTTTTAATAATCATATTATTGACTGTTTCAGATGGACATTTTTTATGTAAAAATTATTTGTATAATTATATATTTCAATCTTATTCATATTATTTATTATTGATTACAATAATTGTAATAATTGAATAAAAGTTTGAACGATCAAAACTTGATTGCTCCGTCGCTTATCTTCTGCAATAATGTATATATTTATATCCGAAACAAAATATAATCGAGGAATGTATTTCATTTGACGTTGACACATTCGTGAGCATTATTAATTCAACATTCGGTGAACAACAAAAATGAAATAATTCCAAAAGCGTTACGAATATCAAATAAAACGCACTTGAAGTCGCGACTTGGCGCATCGCGCTATTTAAAATTGCCGCCTTTAATTTTAAATGCAGATCACTGAGGTAGATAATGGGAGCAGTATACTTGGTGCTACAAATGCTTCGAAGCATTTCTTGATTGGTTAGTTGATAAAATTCTTTGTTTTGATTGGTCATCAAACGTTTCGAAGCATTTGTAGCGCTAAATGGACCATAGTCCACAGAACACGCGTAATAAAAAATGATCTGTTACAGTAGGCCTTCTTTTTTTTTTTTTTTTTAATGAATTTTCTTGTACCATTTTCATTTTTTTCTTTTTTTTCTTCATATTTAGAAAAAAAAAAGAAAAAATTCAAACTAAAAAAAAAAACCTAATTGCAATTTAAGTACTATTCTTGCACTCGTTTCACGTTCTTTTTTTCTCTATTGTCCGCGAATATATTTCTCCTGCTTTAAACCGAAAATTCTAGTGAGTATAAGCAATGCCAAGGTAAAAAATTATAAAAATAAGGAAGTTCACAGAATGAATTACTTTTACATGGAAATTTAGCAAATTTCCTTATTTTTGTAATTTTCATCGCGTCTCAAGATCAATCAACAATCGACTCGCAGATCTTAAGCTCTGTGTTCACAATACTAAAAATCGATTCGAGATCTTGGATGGAAGAAAAATTAACTCGCAGTGACTATTTTGGCTAAGTGATCAATACAATCAATTAATTTTTTCTCCATCGTAAATCTAATGGTATCAATCATGTAATTTTTTCCCCAGAGAAAAACGTGGGATGGAAACGTGAAAAATGAAAAATTTTCCATTATCTTTAATAGTAAAAATTGTCATTAAGGAAAAAATTACATAATCGGTAAAGGTACATAAAAGGTACATAAAATTTTAAAATTACATTCCAACCGATAAAATGTATGCACAATGCTAAACATCGATCCGAAATCTTGAGGGAAAATTGGCCAATCATATCGATCAATTGATCAAAATAATCATTGCGATTGATCAATTTTTCCTCCATCTACGATTTCTCGGATCGATTTTTAACGTCATAAATACAAGGCTTAAAAATTAATTACTATGAGTACCAGCCAATAGTCTAGCGTTAATAAATCGGTTGACGAATCAAAATGAACGTGAGGCCGGGATAACACGACTAAAAACACGCTTCGCTTCTATTTGGACCACGATCGACGGTTCACTCCGTTTTCCGTAATTCCACGGAACGTTCGACAGTGGCGCTCGTGTTCCCTGCGCTCGCCATCGGTTATTTCTCCGTTATTCGAGCCGGAGTACGTTGGCTTCTCGCGACTCGCATAGACGCGAGCGGGTGAAGCGGCTGGGATCGCGAGTTGACCCGAGAGATCGACCGAGGGAGGACGACGCGACAGTAAACGGAGGGTTGTTGGAGGGTGTACGAGTGAGTGATCCTCGCGCGACGGACACGCTCGGAGGTGCGCGCGCTCGGTCGACCGGTTTGTTGGCGGAGAACTCCGGCGCAGCCCTCGTCCGCGTTAGCGGCTCGCGCTCGCCGACACGAAAATGGCGGGCCGTGTTGGCCACGGCATTACGAGTGGAGGCAACGGTGGCTGTCACTGGCGTCGCTAATCCTCTCACGGTACACGTGAATCGGCGATCCCACGATCGTTACGCGCCGCTCGGGGCATTTTCCCGCCCTCCGGTGTTTTGACTGCCGCGTGTCGCGTGCATATACGCACGCACGCACGTACTCACGCACGCACGTACTCACGCGCGTTTATCCGTTCGTCGGAGGCAGCGTGCGCCGAGAAGAAAACGTGCCGAAGAAAACGACGAAACGTTATTTTTGAATGTGTGAATATACAATTCGATTGGAAACACACACGGTGCTCCGATTTGAGAGAGAGAAAGAGAGAGAGAGAGAGAGAGAGAGAGAGAGAAGAGTAGAAGAAAAGAGAGAAAGAAGAGGATACAGGTAGCGACGTCGCCGAACCCCGC